GGTCGGGTTCCACAGGGGACGTGTGTTTACTTCGGTGCACAGGGGCTCGGTCAGCACCTCGGTCCCCAGCCCATGCGCATCAGGCAGCCAGAAGCTCAGACAGGCGATGAGCACTGTGTTCGTCAGCGAGTCGGCTGCGTGAGCTGCTGCGGAGCCAGGCAATCTGGGCTTCTGCTCTGGCCCCGTCTTGCACCAGTGGTGCCCTTAACCTGCCCTTGCCTCAGTTTCCTCATTTATGGAATGAACAGAATGTGTGCCTGACGGGGCTGTGCAGGTTACACGAGACATGTGAGAACGATTAAACTCATGGTACAGCGTCCACAGTACAGATTTTACTCCATGAGTAACAGTCTTCCTCCTCCTCCTCTTCTTCCCTCCTCTCCATCTTCTAATTATCATTATTCATTTAAATTGCGACGCGTCCTCACCGAACATCATCCAGGTACTTCTGCCATTTCTTCTTCTTCTATTACGGCCCTGGTCACGGCCAGGCCCTGGGCGAAACCCCTGAATTCCTCTTTAGGAAAAAATAGAGCAGGAGGAGTGTAGAGACCAGGCTGAATCCTGATCGGAACTCACGGTGCAACTTCTCTCTGCCAATTCACTTGTCAGTTAAATGGAGATAACCACCTCCCCCTCTTCCTGGGCCCTCACGAGGACAAAACAAAAACCCAGACCTGGAGTGTTAGCCAAGTAAAAGTGAGGGGCTTCTAGTGTTCACTGACTTCTGTACAAAGGTTCATCTCTTTTCGGCCGCCTTCCGTGTGCCCATCCAAGCTACTGCACCCAGCTCCCGGCTCGGTTGCTTGCTTACGCACGAATGTATTTACCTACTTCTTGCTTCTGCGTCTCCTTCCAGATAAGCCACGACTTAGGCTTCCTAGTGCTTCCAATCACCTAGAAAAACCCCCTCTTGCTTCTCGCCTGGCACCACGCCTGGAGCGTTGACCTGTCAGCTAGGTTGGGGGCTGATCCCCCCTTGAGAGGGACGCCTGAGAGCTCTCCCCCGTTCCTGGTTTACTCCCAGCCCACTTCTAAAGGCTGTGGGGTACCAGGTGCAGAAAGCTGAGAAGGCAAGGGCTTTAAGGCTCCCTAAGACAATGAACAGGGCAGCGCTGAAGCAGGCTGTCCGGTCTTCCTCGCACACCTCGAATGCTCCACGTGGTGTCTCAATGGCTCCAGGCCCGAGTCCGGTACTGTAGCAATTTCTTGACCACTGTTTGCCCCCACTGGGAGCCAGAGCTCTACAAACTAAGCCTTTGGCACGCCTCTCCGCCCATGCAGAATATGGATGGCAGAAGGTTACAGGGGGTGGGGGGAGATTAAGAGGAAGAAGAGAGGAGGGGAGGTTACAGAGAAGTCACTGGTGTTCACCTTGACACCAAACCCAAGGCAGACAGCCACTTCCCAGAATCTACAAGCAACCCTCTCTTCGAATTCTCACCAAGCAGACCAATTATTCCCCCTTTCAAGAGGCTGCTGAATATGTTGTGGGTCGGCTAAGAAGGAAGTTGAGGGGACTCTCCTTTTCTGCACCCAGCTTCAAGATGAAAAGGGATGAGAGAGGACACTGTCCCCCACCCCCGCCATTTACAAGGCAGCTGCTACCTAAACAAAATATACTCCCTCTTCTCTCCTCCAAACTAAACAGCAGTTTGTCAAATGGAAGAGTGAGAAGGAAAGTGACAATTTTCCTTTATGTTAATAAATTGCTTTGGCCTAAAAAACATTAATCAATTTCTTTCCTAAGTGCACACACTTCTCTATACCCTGCTTTTTGCCTGGCCTTGGAAAGAACGTCATTTTCAATCCCCTTTCTCTTGTCCAGATCAGTGAGGGCAATTACAAGAGGAGTGGGGGGAGATCATAATGGAGCCCTGTGGTGTTTCCATAGAAACGTAGAATGTATTCTTTCCTGAATGTACAGGGAAGGGATGGGTGAAGAGTGATGTTGCTGGCAAGGTAAGTTACTGAAGAGCTTAAGGTATGAGTGTGGAGGTGAGACATTCAGCTCCTAAGACAGGAAGACAAAAGACTTAGTGAAGAGGGCAGTGGGCAGAGACCTGGTCCTGCGTGAGGACATTTGACCTATTCTTGTGTCCCATCTGTACAACTACCCGGTAAGAGAGCTTTGTGACCCCCGTTCTCAACTGAGTCTCAGAAAGAGAAGCCACTTGCCCAAGCTCACCCAGCCAGCGAGAGGCACAGCCTCGGTTCAAGCCCAGGAGCGTTCCACTCAGAGCCCTTGCACTATCCTCTCTCTGTATGGGCTGCACTTTAACTCAGACGATGAGATAGTTTCATGCTGTCTCCTGGCTCCTCTCAAGTTCTGCCAGTTCTGTCCATTCTGGATCCCCCCGAAGCACTGCTTTCCCTAACTGGTATTAGGACATGGCTGTTGAGTCTTGACACACTCAGGTGGTTTGTTGTTGTCGCTTGTTTATCTGAAGTATGAAGTCAGAGAAATGTCACATATAAGAGGAAAAGGAAGATGGGTTTTGTGTATGTTCATATAATTTGTTAGGTGTATGGATGAGGACCTGGAAAGTGGGGTAATTAAGATCAATATGAAGGATTTTTTTTAAAGCAATTGTTAATTTAATCTGCCCCACACACTGGGAATTAAGATCTACAAGGGCAGTATGCAGGTCTGTCTGTCTTACCATTGTGTCCCACAACTGAGCACAATGTCAGGCCACAAACTAGCTGGCTGGCTGGCTGGCTGGCTAGATGGATGGATGATGGATGATTGATGGATGGATGGATGGATGGGTAGATGGATGATGGATAGATAGATAGATGATGGATGGATGAATGGATAGATGGGTGGACAGATGGATGGATGGAGGACAGATGGAATGTCTTATAACAGCAACAGCAGAGGAAATTCCTAGAATGAACATGGGGTACCCACTTCCTTTAGCTCCATCTGGTGGCCTAGGCTAAAGGTTACTGACCTGGCAAATCCTGGGCTTCGGCTACAAAGCTCTCAAATAGCTCTTGGTGTTGGCTAGCTCTTCCTGAGGACACAGAGCCACTGGACTGGTAGCCAATGTCTGCCTGTCTATCTAACACCCGTCCCCCAGCACCTAGCCCAAGGCCTGGCACATGGGAAATAGTCAACAAATGATGGTTGAATGACTGCCTGAATCCTCGGTGCCTCGGTCAGAGCCAAGTGTTGACATCTATACTGTGTCGCTTAAACTCACTGAGAACCCTGTGAGTAGGCAACGTGCTCATTTTACAGATGAGGACACTGTGGCTTGAAAATGAAAACTGACTTCCCCAAGATCTCACAGCTAATCAGCTGTGGAGCTTGGCTGTGAAAAACACAGTCTGCGTTTCATCCACTATATAGGTCACCCAGCTAGGAACATGTCCCTATAGAGGGGACCAGGGAGGAACAGGAAGTAAAAGGACATAAGCCGAGAACAAAACATATTCTTCCCTGACGCTTCTAAGCACTGATGCCCCACCCGTCTTTTTAGCAGCTTCCATCACAGAAATCCCAGTGCCAAGCCACCGTCTGGGGCCTTCATTACTTGTACGGCAATCATAGTTTGCCTTTTCAGTGGCACTCGGTCTGACCCTGGGTCTGTGGGAAGTGACATAGGGACAGTAGACAAAGACGACTGTCCCTGTAATGACAGCTCCTTTCAGCCCTTGCTGGGCAGAAAGGCTCTGGCCAGTCACGCCATATCACAAACCGGCATGGGGTCTTCCATCCTGCACATGAAACACTTCATCTCTTCCTCACTACACAAGGGGAAGGCACTGCTTTCATGGCTGTGCTTCTTCCACAAGCCCACGCCGGCTCCTCATCTTTGGCCTTCTGAGAGCTGTGGTGTGAAACCTGCAGTCTTCCTACAAGCATCCCGCACAGGAACAGCTCCTGAAGTAAAGGTCCTGGGGAGGGGAGTGGGCAACTGAGGGCGGAGGGAGCCCAAGTGCAGTCTGCAGGAGTCCTTCGTTCAGGCTCTGATGGGTGTGTGGGGGGGGCGGAGCCAGCAGAGGGAGGTGGGCTGACAGTCCCGGAGGAGGAGGCCCGCCAGCCCGATTCCCCAGCCCTCAGAGATCAGGGGCTCATGAGCACCCACGGCTCGGGCCAGAGCCTCTGCACTGCGTGGCCCCATTCTCTGAATTCTGGGAACCCCAGTCCCTGACTTCAAGTCCTCTATACCTCACAGACCAGTGTGCAGACCATACAATGGAGTCTATGTGAACGACTCCAAAACACAAATGAAACAGCAAAAAGGAGATCAGGATGTGCCCATCACAGGAGAGTGTGTAAATGCGTTTGTACTGAGGACTAGGAGGAGGTCAGAGTATATGTAAAGCAATCGATAACACGTTAATTTGAGAAGCTAGACAAAGGCAAGGCCTATATATTAGTAGTAATAATGTTTAGGATAATACTAACAGCCATAGGAGCTAACTAACACAGATGAAGGGCTTCTTCCACACCAGGCCCTGCTGTAAGTACTTCTTTTATAGTCTCTCACTTCACACACACACACACACACACTCCAAAGAAAGCCTTTAAGATACATGCTATTAGGTTGTCCATTTTATTGATAAGGAAGCTGAGCTGTCAGTTTTATTGTCTATTCCTCACTATTATTTACATCTTTTGTAATGAGGTGATTTTCATGCATAACACATGTGAAAAGAACTCAGAATTAGGAGCATTAAACAATGAGAGGAAGACTGGAGGGACGTTTACTGAGCTCGACTATAAGTCTGCCACATGACACGCCTCACTGAAATTTCAGAGCATCCCCAGCAGGAAGGCATTACAGGCGCCAATTCAATCAATGAGGACCTGAAGGTCCAGAGAGCTAGCACAATTTTTCCAAGGTCACACAGCCAGCAGGTACGTACGCACCTGGGACTAGGTGTCAAAGCCCATGCTCTTCTGGATCAGCTGGGCCCTTGGGGTGATGCTAAATCAGTATGTGCTGATTGGGATTTACTTTCCTTCCGTTCTCTGTGTTTTTCAGTGTAGAGTATGATTTTCGGCAGCAGGAAGGCAGGTTCCATGAAGTTCTACAGAGTCTGGAGGAAGCGGAACCAGCTGGGGAGCCCTCTCCCCCACCAAAGTCCCCAGCAGAAGCCCCTGTTCCTGAGAAACAGGATGCAAGGCGGAAAACCAAGAAGGTGAAGAAGAAATGCTTCTGGTGGATCTGAGCTTGTCAGGACCATGCCCTGTGCCCTCCCCAAGTACCTCCCCGAGGTGGGGACGCCACCGCCCACAGGCCTTCTCTACTGCTTAGCAAAGGCCCCAGGCTGCGATCCACGCAACCTGGGAAATGGGAAGGACCCAGGGCTGGCTTAGCCGCTGCTGGACGCCTGCCCACCAACCTCACCTGAGTGAGTGCCACCGCTTGCTGAGGACTTCACGGACTCCAGAGTGACCACTTGCCTAGCTCCCCCTCACACACCACCAGGCCACATCCTGGGGGGGGTGCCACATCCTGGGGTGCGCAGTCTGGATTCCCACCAGGAGCAAACCCACACACATATCGACTTTCCAACACCTCCATGATGCTGAGCACTTCCTCCTCATCCTTGGTTCATCGTCCCAGATGGAAAAAAAAGAGAGAGCAATGCTGTGTGGGACAGGAAGATACAGGAGCTCTGTGAACAGAGACACCAGAAGAGATCAGACAACACATGTTGGCTGTTTTCAAAGAAAACAGGGTACAGGAGCACCACAGAAATAGGCAGGGTGTGGAAATGCAAGGCTGCCTGGCGGGTTGGGTCATTCTCATGTTAAATTAGCCCTTTGATCCCACACCAAGGACCTGCCATGTCCCGCTGTGTGGCCTCCCAGTCTGGGGCAGAGCCGGGTCACGGCAGGGGGTAAGGAACTAGGCGTGGTTATGCTGTAGCTGTTGTTCTGGGGCCGCCTTGGACCATCACGCTTCTCAGCCCGGGGCCCAAGGCTGCCTGGCAAATGGGTGGGATCTGGTTTGGGTCTGAATTATATAAGGTTCCATGGTTCATTTTTTTTTATTGAATTTATGGAGGTGACACTTCCACAGTTAATTTCCCTGCAGCATTAAGATCAGGAGACCCAGCGGCCTGTCTTTCATCTTAGCAGCAACATAAATAAGACCGAGATAAAATCCAACACAGGTTCCCACTCGCTCACCCCCCACAGTCCCTTTGTAGATAGGTTCAAACGTATATTAATCTACATCATCTCCCTTCCTGGTGACCAGGCCATGGCCACCTGATTGAAGAAGCAGCAGGACTAAGGATGAGGATATATATTTTTTCCATTTTCATATAAAACACCTTTCCTTTCCAAAGTCTGACTTCTTTTAAAGTCAGGCTTGTTCTTCTCACATGACCCCATATATGCGGCCCAGTCAAACTTGCATGGCTGAACAATGAACATAATAGAGTAGTCGCTACATACCCTTGGGGATGAGGGATGGGTTGGCAAGGCTCTTGGTCCACATGAAATTCCCTACCAGCCTGTGGTTGGATGGATGCTGCTTTGTAAAGGGATGCTAAAGCTCAACATGGCATTCGATGAAGAAGGCCTTTCGTTAGGCCCTTAGCTCCAGATCAGCGATCTGAGTTAGAGTCCGCAGAGTACAGCAGCCTGTGTGCACGTGGGGTGAGCGCACCCCACTGCACACGGAGAGGAACTGAGCAACCCCTCCGACAGCTGCTCCTGCCCTGCCCGGTGCTGCAGTGCAGAAGCTATCTCGGTGAGAGCGAGAGGGGAATTTGGCACGGAATCTCAGCTTGCACTACTTAAGTCTTGGAATGTCATTCAAGATGTTCTTGTTCTGTTTCTAGTGAGATGTTTAAACCCACAGAACGAGACCGGCATCCATAATGTTCAGCTGGAATTAAGATAAATACACTTGTCATACTTAGGAAGCCACATTTCGTAGGATATGCTACCACTGGCTAAAAGCCACAGATCTTTCTGTACCCACACAATCCACTCTCAGTTAGCCCCAACAATGGAAAAGAACAACACAGAGGATAATCCAATAAAGCAAAATCATGTGGGATCTCTTATGTAATTTTATCTTGTAGTAGAGCTTCCGTCTTAATTTGCTTTGCTTACACTAATTTTCGAATGAATTTATATTCCTGGGCAGCGTGCTAGGATGAAAACGCTCCTGTTCTGGGAACTGAGAGACCCGGGCAACAGCAGAGCCTAGTCCGCCCTCCTCTGACACAGCGTTCCGATTTTCAGGGCCGCGTGTCCGTTCACAAACGGAGATGTGAACACCTGCTCGACCTGCTCCGTCTGCTCTGTGCTCGGTCCAGCACCGAGTGAGCAGAACGACCCAGGGCTGGGCTGGGGCATCTGCCAAGTCTGCCTGGAATAATGAAGAGGCGTTGGAGGCCACGCTCACAAAAAGCAGAACCCAGTCCTTGGGTAACGAAAAAGCGCATGTTTTTACACCCTTATGTGGAGTTGGGGGCTTGGATACACTCTCAACGGGGAAACAAAATTGGGCAGAAAATGCTGTCATTTCTAGAAATTCAACCAAATGAGACTGCAATGATTCTATACCAAAGCACAACACGACATCGCTCGGGCCGCCAGCCTGAACCAGGGAAGGAGGGCTCTTCCAGAAATCGAGCATTTAAAATCATTACAAGGGAAAACGGACTCAGTAAGCACCTTCCTGCTAACAAAAATGATCATCTCTGTTCAAAAAAGTAAATAAAAATCCCACACATATACTTACACCGAAACTCTCTATCCAACTACTCATGTGAAAATCGCTTCTTTGTAAAATATTAGGTAACATCTACCATGATAATCTACAACCACGCTGTACTTGAGGTTTTATGGTTTTATGGTTTTATGGTGAGAGATTAATTTAGCAGAAATCACTTTTGTAAAATGGGAGAAGAAAGGACTGACACATCAGCGTGAGTGGCAGGGGTTTATGTGGCTGCTTTCTCTGTAGTTAAGGGAACTGTGTATCACTCACTAACCCGGGACTTCAGACCAGCTCATCTGCACAGTACCTTCTTAAACACTGTGTAAAATGCAAGGTTTTGTAAATTTCTAAACTGTTTTAAATGGGATATTATCTTTTGCAATAAACTTACATATTTTTCCTAGGTTTTGCGTCTCCATTTGTAGCTGGGGTTGATTGGGCTATAAAATTCAAACTTGAGAAGGATACCTCACTGGTCCTAATGACAGGGACAGTTTTCATTATAATCTCTTCTGCACGTTTCCCGGGAAAACAAAGAAAGAACAGATTCCGAACTTCCCAGGAAAGGTCGACCGCCTTCACCGCTGCCCACACCACACGGAGCGCCCCTCTCGCACATTCACTGGGCACCAGGGTCCCTTCCATCAAAGTCACTGGCACAGTTGTCCTTGTACCTCTATTTGTGTCATTCTTTGATGAATGTATTTCTCTCTCATTAGGCAGGAATCGGGCTTATTTTTGCTCCCCTTTAAATCTCCAGCACCTGCACAATGGGATTCAACTATTTGTTGCAGGGATGAGTTAAGGAATGAACTAGATCCAGTGGAGAAACATGAAGAAATGATTCCCAAGCATTTCCTTGTCCATCAGTGCTCACATGAGGCTGGGCCTGGGCCCCTTCTGTGCTCCCAGGAGGACCCAGCCTCCCACGGATCCAGACCTTCAGCAGCTCACGTGCCCTGGGCTTCTGTCTCCACGGTGGTCCGCGTGCGGTTCAGAGCCCAGACACACCAAGCCACTACTATCCTCTCCCACTGCCAAGCCCCCCACACCTTTATCCAGAATACTGACAGCCCAGTTAACCTCGCTGCAGGACAAATTGCCGCCATAATTAAATCCTAATGCGTTTTGCACATTTTACCAAGCTACTGCCTTACTGTGTGAAGGGGAAAATTGGTTTTGAAATTAGAGCAGATTGTTAACTATTTTTGCTGTAATGTTTCCATTAAAATGCCAGAATTTATTACATGTGACCTAGTCCAGTTCAGACAAAATGCAATTTTAAGGAGATAGGGTCTGTTTAACTGAAGAAGCATTTTGGGCAGAGCATTTTGCCTTGGCTTAAACCACAACTGAAATGAAAAGACAATAAACATTACACCAAAGGATTATTTGCTCCAAAGCAAATCAAAGCTTTATTATTATGAATGCCTTTCACAAATTCTCAGAACCTATAGCTCCCTCACATTAAATTTCACTCCAATGAAACCCGTATTTTTTCTCCTGGCACAAGTTCAACAGATATGTTGTAAAGCATCGGCTGACACAGTGACCTCGTGTGGGTGCGTGGGCTGGTTGCCCAGGTAGCACACGCGATGCTGTGACACTCTGGAGATGCAGACAAAAAAGCCTCCTTCCTCGGAGCCGGATGGACTGAGTCAGTGCATTTTTGTGCATTTATTTTACAGATTTTACTTATTTATTTTTAGAGAGAGGGGAAGAGAGAAAGAGGAGAGAAACATCAGTCAGTTGCCTCCATGACATGCCTTGTCTGGGACCCACGACCCGGTCATGTGCCCTGACCAGGGATCGAACCGGCGGCGACCTTTACTTTGTGGGATGATGCCCCGCCCACGGAGCCACAGCAGTCGGGGTGACTGAGTCCCTTTAGTTGCTGAAATCGAGAGTGGTTCACACGGCTTTTCCGCCCAGCGCCCCGAGCCCGACTGCGCCCCATCCCACGTGCACGAACCCTGTGTGGGCGACGGAGGAGAAGTTACGGGTTGTTGTCACTGTTTTTTGTTTGCTCATTTGTTTCCAGACTTAATGAGATAGAAGCAATATGCCTTCGCTAGTCAGGGTTCCAAGAGAGCAAACCCAAAGCTGTGGGAAGCATCAATATCCACAAACTCAGCCCACTGACCTGTGGGGATTCTTGAGATGGCTCCCTCCCCCCTCTCCACTCCACGGGTCCGCCAGCTCCAAGGAAACGCCTCCAGTGAACCTCAGTCCACAGTCACTTATTCTCCAGTCAACAGTTACTGACTCCCATCTTGGGCCAGGCCAGAAAACGGCAGCTGCCGCCCTGGCGCACTGTGGCCCACCATGGGTAGGGGGTCTGAGAATGAGCACAGCCCCTTCCTGGCCCGCCCACCTGGATACCGCGCCCCCTCCTTTGCTGACCCTCTAAATGCTGTCCTTGTAATTCTCTTGTGACGATTACTGGTCTTCAAGTGTGGCCATTTCCAGTTTTCTCCCCACTTC